TGTACATTTTTGCCAAAGTGGCTCTATTAAATGTTGATAGATAGGATGATCATTTGGTAGACAGAATGAGAGAGAGTGAAGCAGAAGATCTTTGTAGATCAGAGGCGTGTAGGATGAAGGATCTACAATATTAATCATATAGAGCAGACTCTTGACCAGAAATCAGAAAACATTTTTAAAGAAACTCTAACAAACTAGAAGCTAATCCTGGGCATGTCCATCTGAGAGGTCAGTCCATCCAACACTGATATTTCAGTTTTGATAGTTGACAGAGAATCAATCCATAGGGCTTCATGAATTCTGGAAGGACTCCAGGTCTCTGGGCTTGAGTTCTGTAGTCTGCACACTAGTGTGACCATTATGAGGGTGTCCCATTCCACCTGATTGGCTATTTTATATCATGGACACAGTAACAGGAAGAATGAGAACACTTCATGGAGAATGGGATCAATTTTTTAAATCATTGTTGGAAATTTTGTCAATTTAGTCCATGGTGTAATGTAATGAAGATACATATGGAGGGCTGTAGGCAGGTTGTAGAGCAGGTCCCCTTTACGGTGCCTCCTCCCCCTGGGAGTTTAGGCAGAACCAGGGAGGGAGGAGGATCAGACTGGAGAGGAAGGAGAAGGAGCAACATCCAGCTGTTGTGCTCCTGATCTTCCCCCTCTGGGGCAAAGGCAGGATGTCCCAGGGTTCCCCATCCCAGCCCTAAGAGAGAAGGAGAGTTATAGCAGGCCAGTGCAGGCCCAGAAGTAGAGTTTTGGAGTTGGTATAACCCTTGTTTCCTCCCCTCCTTAGCCCAGGAAGAGTAGCAAGCCTACAGGGAGTTAGAATCTGTCTGCAGAGACACGAGCAGCCTCCAGCAGGGCCTAAGACCAAGTGTTCCTTCCTGCTAATGGAACTGTGTTGGGGTCTGCAACCCACGACAAAACCATGTTATTAATTGATGATTTCAAGCAATGAAGGTTAACCACATCCAACCTCATGGTGCCTTTAGTCGGTCATTATGCTGCTCTGAAAACAGTTAGGGAGAGTTCTTTCACATTTCTCTCTGGCTCTCAGACCTGGGTAAGGTAAGCACAGCGTCTGGAACTCCTGGGAGTGAGAAAGCAAAGCCAAGTAGCCAGGAGGGTAGAAACGGGGTCAGTCTCCGCCCGCCAGCCATGCATTGGAGAGAGTCATGAGCAAAACTATTGTATTGCCCAGAAGGTCAGTTTACAATATGGGTCAGCTTGGCCATGAATGAGACAGCCCTCCACCCACCAACACAGTGTCATCCCTCTTAACCCTTTTGCACTCACTGGTTGTGAGTGTACAAACTAATTGCAATGGGGATTTTATATCTGGCCTTTATTATTTTTTATTATTATTATAATACAGGATTTATACAGAGCCACCAGTTTGGGCAGCACTTTACAAAATATAGCGAAACAGAACAGTTCCAATACATTCAATAGAAGAGGGTTCAAAAGGCTTTGTTCATGAAGCTTACAAACAAAATTAAGAGGTTCCTGATACATAAAACAATATTTATGGATGATGAGTTGATGGAGAAAGTAAAATCCCACCGTTTAGGTGGAGTTGGGATAGACTTCTCTAAAAAGATCGCCTGAAGGTGGACAGAATAGGAGATAGCCAGATGGTTTTGGGTAAAGAGAGGTCTGCAGAAGTCTGGAGACAAGTGTAGTGCTACCCTCTTGAGTGGCGCTGAGTTTTGGGTCCCCCTAAGCTCTGCACAGCCAGGCAACATACACTTGCATCCACAGTCAGTAAACAATTCATGAGCTTGTTTTTTTTTTTTTTTTTTTTTTTTTATTAGGTGTTAACAACTTGGACGGGGTATATGAGATGCCCATGGAACAACTTGTAGGACAACTTCCTATGTACAAAAATGCAAAAAACATAATCCTAGACTCTCTATTCCCTCAGGAGTGGCTCTTATCTTATGAAAATTAGCACACAGTCTTTACTAGAAGCACTTTGTCCCCTTAAATGAACCTTCTCAGACCCCAGGTGAAAATCTCATCCACCTGGCTGTCCTAAATAACATCCCAGGGCAAGGGTTTCCGAGACACAGTGGAGTGATGTCCCAGGAAGAACTAGTTGCATATTGCACCTGACTACCCTCTCCCTTGTAGGCCCAGGGAGTGTAGAGGGACTCGCACTGTCCTGTTCCTGTTGCTTTAAAAGCTAAAGCTGCTTTCAGGCCTTACACTGGGCAGGCTTTTCCCCTGCTGACAGGCTGTCCTTTCCTGTACACTGTAGGGCAGTGGAGATCCCTCTTTCCAGATCCCTGTAGTTAGACCCCCTCCTCTGGGGTCCCCTCCTAGGCTCTACACCAGCATCACTTCCTCACTCCATCTTCCACCCAACTCCTATGCTGACCTCTCCTATTTAAAGGCTGACCTAGCCACCAAGCCAGGCCTCCTGCCTGGGGATTGAGCAGATTCCCTTAAGTATGCAGACCAGCCCCTTCCCACCCCCACCTACTGGCTTCTAGAAATTTCTCCAAGTCTCTAGAGCAGGTGGAGGTATCAGAGAACTGACTTGTAGAGCCCTCCAGCATTACCCTGAAGTAACTTTGCTGACTCACTCCCAGGCTGACTCATACCGAGGCTTCAAGCACGCCTCTAACTGTACAACAAAAAAACTATGTACACTGAAGGGATTACACAAGCAAGAGAGGAGGCAATGAGGAGGTCTTAAGAAATTCAAGAGGCCAGGGTGTGAATACTCCTGAAATGAAAACAACATTTTGGGGAAGAAGTCATCCTTAAAAAAAACGTTAAGAGTAGTTCAGTGACCACAATGGATTTGTTTAACTAAAGGTCAGGATCACCTGAAGGTGGATAGAATAGGTGATAACCAGATAAATTTGGATAGGAAGAAGCTCTGGAGAAGTCCTGGAGAGGAGGTGATGAGGAGGTCTTAAGAAATGCAATACTCCACCTCCGCAACATCGCCAACATCCGCACGTTCCTAACTCCAGAAACCACTAAACAGCTCATCCACTCCCTCATCATATCACGACTCGACTACTGCAACTCCCTCCTCACTGGCCTGCCTCGCCGCTGGCTATCCCCACTTCAGTCGATCCTGAATACGGCTGCCAGAATCATTCACCTTTCCAATCGCTTCATCTCCGCCACCCCCCTCTGCCAATCCCTCCACTGGCTTCCGATTGCGCAACAGATCAAATTCAAATCCTAACACTGACGTACAAAGCCGTCCACCATACTGCCCCGAACTACATCACTGACCTAATATCCAAGTACCACCCAACACGCACACTGCGCTCCTCACAAGACCTCCTTCTCTCTAGTTCCCTGGTCGTCTCCTCCCATGCCCGCCTCCAGGACTTCTCCAGGGTGTCACCCATCCTCTGGAACTCCCTGCCCCAACCCATCAGATTATCACCTACTCTCCTCTCCTTTAGGCGCACCCTGAAAACCCACCTCTTCAGGGAAGCCTACCCCACCCCCTGCTAACTTGCCAACCTCCTCCACTCTTCCTACCACTCCATCCCCCACAGCTATCTCCTCCTGTGCCACCATCTACTCCCTCCTAGATTGTAAGCTCCAAAGAGCAGGGCCCTCGATCCCCTCATGTTTTGCATTGTATTGGTATTGTTCTGTCACATGTTCTGTCCCCCTTTGTAATGTACAGCGCTGAGCGAACTATTGGCGCTTTATAAATACTGTATAATAATAATAATACTCCCGAAACTAAAATATATATTTTGGGTGAAGCCACCCCTAAAAAACTGTTGAGATTAGTTCAGTAACCACAACAGATTTTGTTTAGTTAATGTCAGGGCAGGTTTTAAAATAATCCCTAATTTGTGCAAATGTAATAAACTAGGTGCACACATGAAGGGATTCTAATTGTGGACAGATGGAAAAATTAGCAGCCGCACACAGTTTTATCAGCCGGTTCCTTCTAGCAAACCAACCTGGCTGATCCATATGAATTGTTGGATGCCAGCTCAATCATTTTGCTCATTTCAGCTGAGCACTAAATTCGGGTGCCTGCGTCTCAATACCTCTGCCACGGAATGGTGTCTAATTTACCTTCAAGGGAGCTCCGCACCGTTCTGGGACTGGAGCCAAGCCTTACATTGAAAATGATACAATTAAACTAAACATATCAATATCTGTTGCATTTCATCCTGAACAAATATAAAAATAAGACATTGTTCTAAGCAAGATAAAGCGGAGAGAGAGAGCAAGAGAAGAAGAAAGAGAGAGAGGAGGAACAAAACGTTGTAATTCAAGTGAAAAAAAAAAAATCATTTTGCTATATTTTTCAGAAAATTGACTATAATGTTACTTTTAATGCCACGTCAGGAACACAGAGCGAGCTAACAGTATGAAGCTAAACTGCTTCTTAAATGTTCTAGAAAGTTACATTGTACGAAACACGGCAATTCTGTGCATTACATCTTAACTCCTTCATGTCTGGGAGTATACCTCAGTAGCATTAGTAGTTACAGTATTATTATTATACAGGATTTATATGGCGCCAACAGTTTGCTCAGCGCTTTACAATAATGGGAGACAATACAGAAACAATACAGTTCAATACAAGAGAGTTAGGAGGGCCCTGATCCTGGGAGTTTACAATCTAAGAGGGAGGGGCTGGTGGTACAAAAGGTAGTAACTGTGGAGGATGGACTGGTTGGAAGAGTAGAAGATTCCATTATTAGCTGAGGGCAGGATAGGCTTCCCTGAAGAGATAGAATTTCAGAGATCGCCTAAAAAGTGAGCAGAGTGGGTGATAGTCTGATAAATTGGGGTAGAGAGTTCCAGAGGATGGGGGAAGCACTGGAGAAGTCCTGGAGACGAGCATGGGAGGAGGAGACAAAGGAGCTAGAGAGCAGGAGGTCTTGTGAAGAGCAGAGAGGACGGTTTGGGTGATATTTGGAGACAAGATTGCTGATGTATTTTGGGGCAAAATTATAAATGGCTTTATATGTTATTGTTAATGTTTTGCATTTTATCTGTTGGGCAATGGGAAACCAGTGGAGGGATTGGCAGAGAGGGGTGGAGGACACTGAGTGGAAGCCAGTGGAGGGATTGGTAGTGAGGGGTGGAGGACACTGAGTGGAAGCCAGTGGAGGGATTGGCAGTGAGGGGTGGAGGACACTGAATGGAGGCCAGTGGAGGGATTGGCAGAGAGGGGTGGAGGACACTGAATGGAGGCCAGTGGAGGGATTGGCAGAGAGGGGTGGAGGACACTGAGTGGAGGTTTTGGTTTTGCATACTCATTGTATTTTGTTTTTGGTCTTGCATTCTCATGGGGTTTATTTTTTCTGGTCTTTCATTCTCATGGGATTTTTTTTTTGGTCTTGCATTCTCATCTGATTTTTTTTTTTTTTTGGTCTTGCATTCTCATGGTATTTTTTTTTGGTTTTGCTTTTTCATGGTATTTTTTTTTTTTTTTTTGGTCTTGCATTCTCACGGTTTTTTTTTGGTCTTGCATCCACATGGTATTATTTTTGGTCTTGCGATTTCATGGGATTTTTTTATTACATACTCCCTACTTAAAGGGCCAATCAAAACATAAAAAAAAAAAAAAAGTTTTGGCTACATATACACTTTAATTAGGTGAAAAGTTAATGCCTTCTTAATGAATACATAACTAGATTAAACATCTGTCGCATCAGCTTGCTCTAAAACCGTAACGCGCAATTTCGGATAATTACTAAACTAGCTGGTGGCAATCTCTGATAATAATTGGATGATTAAGAGAAAAAAAAATCTTAAAACCCCCCCCCCCTCCTTTGTGCGGACGGTACTTTTTTTTTCGTGTTTTTTTTTTTTCTTACTTAATTATTTTCTTAAGATCTTACCCAGCCTATCTCTACTTAGAAGCGTCACTGATGTTACATGCAATAGCTACAGAAGCTCTCAAACCCGAAACTAACTTACAGGCTGAATATAAAAGATTTGTTCCATCTCTTAAAATAAACGTTGATTTTAATGAGAGGGCCGGATGAAGAAGCTCTGTGTGTTTATCGTTGGTGTTTGATACACGGGGAGAATGGGGGGGGGGGGAGAGAGCTCAGCCAAAAAAAACAAATTTAATTGCAATGCAGTGATGCTGACATTTGCATGTGTTGTCAAGAAAATGAGTTTGCCGCCGAACAGGAAATGTTTTTTGATTGATGTCTAGTTAATCTATAAACAGATTACCATAAGGTTACATTATTATCCTGGATCCTGCTGAGTGATGTGCCGTCCTCACCATACAAATGTATATTAATAGCTGCCCATGGTAATATTCCTCTAATCAGCTGGATGCGAGTCTCCCGGCTCTAACAAATCATTTTTAAAGGGGTCTGTAAAGTGGACCTGAATGCAAGCGTACAATCCCAACGCACAACGTTCCTGCGTTTAAAAATGGTGGTGTGTATAAGTGGGTGGTGCAGTGGAGCCGGACAGAATCAGCAAGACCAGCACACCGAGGATCACCGATATGGGTCCAATATTGGTGATCCTCGGAGTGCTGGTGACATTCTCCCTTGCAGGGGCGGACTGACAACTCATGGGGCCCCTGGGCAATAGGGGATCATGGGGCCCCTGTGTCCTTGCCCAAACTCAAAAAAGCCTATGAAAAGGTACCAGGGGCATCTCATGGGGCCCCCTACTGATCCCGGGCCCTTTGGGCAGTGCCCGAGTTTCCAAATGGTCAGTCCGCCCCTGCTCCCTTGTAAAGTGGACCTGTCTCCACACCAGGGGCGGACTGACAACTTATGGGGCCCCCGGGCAATAGGGGATCATGGGGCCCCTGTGTCCTTGCCCAAACTCAAAAAAGCCTATGAAAAAGGTACCAGGGGCATCTCATGGGGCCCCCTACTGACCCCGGGCCCTCGGGCAGTGCCCGAGTTTCCAAATGGTCATTCCGCCCCTGCTCCCTTTTAAAGTGGACCTGTCTCCACACCAGGGGCGTACTGACCATTTGAAAACTCGGGCACTTCCCGAGGGCCCATGAGATGCCCCTGGTACCTTTTTCATAGGCTTTTTTGAGTTTGGGCAAGGACACAGGGGCCCTATGATCCCCTATTGCCCGGGGGCCCCATGAGTTGTCAGTACGCCCCTGCTTCAGACATCCTGAGTTTCTTGGTCACTTCACTTTTCATTAACCACTTCAAGTCCGGACACTTTCACCACCTTCCTGTCCAAGCCAATATTCAGCTTTCAGCGCTGTCACACTTTGAATGACAATTGCGCGGTCATGCAACACAGTACCCATATGAATTGGCTGCGCAGACTGGTGCCGTGATACAGGCATCTTAACCACTTCAAGTCCGGACACTTTCACCCCCTTCCTGTCCAGGCCAATATTTAGCTTTCAGCGCTGTCACTCTTTGAATGACAATTGTGTGGTCATGCAACACTGTACCCATTCGAATTGGCTGCACAGATTGGTGCCGGGATACAGGCACCTTAACCACTTCAAGTCCGGATACTTTTACCCCCTTCCAGTCCAGGCCAATTTTCAGCTTTCAGCGCTGTCACACTTTGAATGACAATTACGCAGTCATGCAACACTGTACCCATATGAATTGGCTGCACACACTGGTGCCGGGATACAGGTACCTTAACCACTTCAAGTCCGGACACTTTTTACCCCCCCCCCTCCCTTCCTGCCCAGGCCAGCTTTCAGCGCTGTCACACTTTGAATGACAATTGTGCGGTCATGCAACACTGTACCCATATGAATTGGCTGCACACACTGGTGCCGGAATACAGGCACCTTAACCACTTCAAATCCGGACACTTTTACCCCCTTCTAGTCCAGGACAATTTTCAGCTTTCAGCGCTGTCACACTTTGAATGACAATTGCGCGGTCATGCAACACTGTACCCATATTAATTTTTTTAGCATTTTCTTTTAGACAGATACAAGTTTCTTTTGGTGGTATTTATTCACCACTGGGATTTTTATTTGTTTTGCTATATAAATGAAAAAGTCCAAAAATTTTGAAAAAAAAAAAAGTGTTTTCCTTATAAAATTTTGCAAATAATCTTTCTTCATAAATGTTGGCCAAAATGTATTCAGTTATCTTTTTAGTAAAAAAATATTAAAAATAACCCAAATTAGTTTACAACCAAAAATTATAATTTTTCAACCTTTTTTTTACATTTTTTTTTTTTTTTATATTATGATTTGTTTTTTGTTTTTTTTTTTTTTTACATACTGTCACCCTAGCAGTACAGTGTCACCATAGTGACACTGTACTACTTGTGGGGGGTGATAAAGACTTTTTTTCCTTATTTTACACTGATTGCTTTTACATCCATAAAGGCTTTAAAAGCAATCATTTTTCCTTATCTCTGGCTACATTCTTGCAGCCATTGAGAAATACTGTGTGAGCTGTGATTGGTCACAGCTTGTCACATGGTACAGGTCTGTTGTGAATAGCCTTGTACCATGTGATCTCTGTGATCATTCACAGATTTCACACGTAGTAAGCAATGATGTCAGGAAGTGACATCTTGCTTACTACTATTTTATATGTTAAAAAAAATCTGAAGAATATGTTTAAAAGTATATTTTTTAAAAATATCTTTCATATATTTTTTAATATATAAAAAATGCATTTCAACATGCAGTGTGTGTATATGTGTGTGTGTGTGTATGTGTGTATATATATATATATATATATATATATATATATATATATATATATATATATGCCCCTTATGACTTAAGTCCTGGATGTGGCAAAACGCGTCAAGGGAAGTGACATGGACGCACATGAGAGGAACTGGAAATGGCACATCGGCCATTTTGGATATTGGAAATCCGCATGTCATACTAACTGGAAGCTGCTCGGCGACCCTAGAGGTTTGAAGGACATGGGAATATGCTTTTGGAATATTATGTGAATGTAAGCAGTTTAATAAAGTATATGTATTAAATTTTGAAATGGAATTACACTATATATATTTTATTCATATATCACTCGCATGGAGCATGAGTACTTTGGAGTCCTATGGGGTACTTCCTTAAAGCCATGGTGACATTCAGGAAAATGTGGTGGATGACATCCTAAGGAGTACTTTTCAGGCTTGGAGGAAAGTTGTGGAAGTGTGCTGCCGATCTCTGCAATATTGATAAGGCAATTTTTTGTTTGTTTTTTGGTAAGGGTATATAAGATGTCGGCTCGGTCATGTGATCAGCTGTGTCCAATCACAACTGATCACATGTAAACAGGGAAATGCTGGTTATCGGCATTTCTCTCCCCACGAGCTGTCACGCTGACAGAGGAGAGGAGAGCCGGTAATCGGCATTCCTCGGAAGGGACATGAACACAGATCATCAGAGCACTGATGATCAGTGTGCCCTGATGATCTGTGTAGGCCCAGCAGCGCCACCTGTCAGTGTCCATCAGTGCCAGCTGTCAGTGCTCATCCATGCCACCTGCCAGTGCCCATCAGTGCCATATTTCAGTGCCCATCAGTGCCACATCAATACCACATATCAGTGCCCATCTGAGCTGCCTGTCAGTGCCACCCATCAATGCCAGTCAGTGCCGCCTGTCAGTGCCAGTCAGTGCCGCCTGTCAGTGCCAGTCAGTGCCGCCTATCAGTGTGCATCAGTGCCGCCTGTCAGTGCCAGTCAGTGCCACCTATCAGTGCCGCCTATCAGTGCCGCCTATCAGTGCTGCCTATCAGTGCCAGTCAGTGCCACCTATCAGTGCCAGTCAGTGCTGCCTATCAATGCCAGTCAGTGCGGCATATCAGTGCCAGTCAGTGCCGCCTATCAGTGCCATATATGAGTGCTGCCTTTCAGTGCCCATCAGTGATGCCTGTCAATGCCCATCGGTGCCACCTATCAGTGCCCATCACTGCAGCCTCATTAGCGCACATCAGTGAAGGAGCAAAATCACTTATTTACAAAATTTTATAACAGAAACTAAGAAACATTTTTTCTTCAAAATTTTCTGTTTTTTTTTATTTTTTCTTAAACAAACCAAAAACCAGAGGTGATTAAATACCACCAAAAAAAGCTCTATCTGTCACAAAAAAATTATAAAAATTTCATATGGGTACAGTGTTGCATGACCGCCCAATTGTCATTCAAAGTGTAACAGCGCTGAAAGCTGAAAATTGGCCTGGGCAGGAAGGGGGTAGAAGTGCCCTGTAGGCAGGAAGGGGGTATAAGTGTCCGGTAGGCAAGGGGTTAAAATATATTTTTCTTCCCTGTGGGGACTATAGAATATGCAGGAAATCTGAAGGCAAACAAACCTGTCAAATAACTTCGGCCAGCTGCAAGATTCAGATCAGAGAAAGACTCATTGCATGAAATGATCACAAGATGCAGCCAATATCTCACACCATATACATCTAATTAATGCAGAAAACAAAGGCAAAGGGGTAAGAGTTACATTTACATGAAAGAATATTCTTTTTTGCAAACTGAAAAAAAGAAATCCTCCACGAGATCGCAGTTCCTCTTTAATCATGAGAAGAGCACTCATTCCAAATGAAAGTTGATATCTTGTAGACATCCATCCGCATCTTTTGCATGCCTCGAATTTTACCATCTTGCTCAAATCTTTTGATGCTGCTCAGCTATATATATATATATATTTTTTTTTTTTTATTATTTCTGGAGAGATTTTAATAAGACAAAAGAATCCATTTGCAGGAGCTGCTTGTCGACACCGTTTCATCTTATTAGAGCAAGAAGCAAACATCAGTAGAAGACATCACAGCTGCCTCTACTTGGACCAACAATTCCCTTTAATCTCCTTCCATTGAAGCAGAGCGGGGTGCAGTCTTTTTTCCACCGCATCAGAAATAAATTGTAACGCTAGAGAGTAAAAGTACTGCGTAAGTGGCGGGACAGACAGCAGTTTTGGAGCAGCAATAATAAGTAGGTCGCAAAGAAAACAGCAGTGACACTACATAGGGTTTGGAAACATCAATACGAAAAATTGAAGTCTACTCTGCAGGAACTGTTGGTGGTAGGACATGATTATATCCAAATAAGTATCTTCACAATCTAATTGAGTCCAACCAGTGGCGGACTGACAACTCATGGGGCCCCCAGGCAATAGGGGATCATGGGGCCCCTGTGTCCTTGCACAAACTCAAAAAAGCCTATGAAAAAGGTACCAGGGGCATCTCATGGGGCCCCCTACTGACCCCGGGCCCTCAGGCAGTGCCTGAGTTTCCAAATTGTCAGTCCGCCCGCTCGTGAGCCTCTACTAAACAGAGCCTGATGTCCTGCTGGACACCTGGGCAGGGGCGAACTGACAACTCATGGGGCCCTCGGGCAATAGGGGATCATGGGGCCCCTGTGTCCTTGCCCAAACTCAAAAAAGACTATGAAAAAGGTACCAGGGGCATCTCATGGGGCCCTCTATTGACCCTGGGCCCTCAGGCAGTGCCGAATTTCCAAATGGTCAATCCGCCCCTGAGTCCAACTATTTTTCAGGTTACATAATAAATAAATCCTAAAGAAGAGGGAGTGGTTGAACCCCCCCCCCCCCCCTTAGAGTGTTTCAGGGAGTTCAGAAAGTCCCTCTTCATCAGGGTTTTAAATCGGGAAGAGAAATGGAAGCTGGACTTTGTAACAATGTAGTGAGGTCAGAGGGGCATTTCCATAAATTGTGGTCACAAGGATCTGCTGAAGATGACAATTTAAGCAGCTGTCAGATCCTATTGGCCACCGTTATTTACAATACCCCTCTGGGATCCCTCCATTGTTACAAAGTTCAACTTTAATTTCTCTTCTCTAATCAACGCCCTTGATGAGGGGAATACCTTCAAAATGCTTTGGCTTCCTGTTGAAAGGTTTTCCATGTCAATGTTATAGTAACTTTTCTTTTGATAAAACTTGTACCTCACATCCGGAAACAAGGAAGTGGATCAATAATAATTTGCTCTTCATTCATTGGATACATACCTCAACCAGGGGCAGACTGACAACTCATGGGGCCCCCGGGCAATAGGGGATCATGGTGCCCCCGTGTCCTTGCCCAAACTCAAAAAAAGCCTATGAAAATGGTACCAGGGGCATCTCATGGGGCCCAGAGAGACCAGAGATAGTGAATGCAGGGTCCGGGGAGACCAGATATAGTGAATGCAGGGTCCAGAGAGACCAGATACAGTGAATGCAGGGTCCGGGGTCACTGCCCAATCCTAAGTAGATCTAAGTACATTTTAAAATATCAAAAGTATTATTAAAGTCAGCACCACACTAACAGTGTTGTATGACCGCACAATTGTCATTTAAAGTGTGACAGCGCTGAAACCTGAAAAATGGCCTGGGCAGGAAGGGGGTAAAAGTGCCCGGTATGGAAGGGGTTAAAGAAAAAGGTTTTCAGGGACCGTCTAAAGGTGGATAGATTAGGAGACAGCCGGACAGATTGAGGTAGGGAGTTCCATAGGATGGGAGAAGCTCGGGAGAAGTCCTGGAGGCAAGCATGGGAGGAGATGACACGGGAACTAGAGAGCAGAAGGTCTTGGGAAGATTGAAGAGAGCGGTATGGTTGATATTTTGAAACCAGGTTGGTGATGTAGCTGGAGGCAGAGTTGTTAATGGCTTTGTAAGCTGTTGTTCGTATTTTGAATTTTATTCGTTTGGCGAATGGAAGCCAATGGAGGGATTGGCAGAGAGGGGTGGAGAACACTGAGTGGAAGTCAGTGAAGGGATTGGCAGAGAGGGGTAGCAGACACTGAATGGGGGCCAGTGGAGGGATTGGCAGAGAGGGGTGGAGGACACTGAGTGAAGGCCACAGGAGGGATTGGCAAAGAGGGGTGGAGGACACTGAGTGGAGGTCAGTGGAGGGATTGGCAGGCAGGGGTGGAGGACACTGATTGGAGGTCAGTGGAGGGATTGGCAGGGAGGGGTGGAGGACACTGAGTGGAGGTCAGTGGAGGGATTGGCAGAGAGGGGTGGAGGACACTGAGTGGAGGTCAGTGGAGGAATTGGCAGAGAGGGGTGGAGGACACTGAGTGGAGGTCAGTGGAGGGATTGGCAGGCAGGGGTGGAGGACATTGAGTGGAGGTCAGTGGAGGGATTGGCAGAGAGGGGTGGAGGACACTGAGTGAAGGCCACAGGAGGGATTGGCAGAGAGGGGTAGAGGACACTGAGTGGAGGTCAGTGGAGGGATTGGCAGGCAGGGGTGGAGGACACTGAGTGGAGGTCAGTGGAGGGATTGGCAGGGAGGGGTGGAGGACACTGAGTGGAGGGATTGGCAGAGAGAGGGTGTGGAGGACACTGAGTGGAGGTCAGTGGAGGAATTGGCAGAGAGGGGTGGAGGACACTGAGTGGAGGTCAGTGGAGGGATTGGCAGGCAGGGGTGGAGGACACTGAGTGGAGGTCAGTAGAGGGATTGGCAGGGAGGGGTGGAGGGCACTGAGTGGAGGTCAGTGGAGGGATTGGCAGGGAGGGGTGGAGGACACTGAGTGGAGGTCAGTGGAGGTATTGGCAGGGAGGGGTGGAGGACACTGAGTGGAGGTCAGTGGAGGAATTGGCAGAGAGGGGTGGAGGACACTGAGTGGAGGTCAGTGGAGGGATTGGCAGGGAGGGGCGGAGGACACTGAGTGGAGGTCAGTGGAGGGATTGGCAGGGAGGGGCGGAGGACACTGAGTGGAAGTCAGTGGAGGGATTGGCAGGGAGGGGTAGAGGACACTGAGTGGAAGCCAGTGGAGGGATTGGCAGAGAGGGGTGGAGGACACTGAGCGGAGGTCAGTGGAGGGATTGGCAGGGAGGGGTGGAGGACACTGAGTGGAGGTCAGTGGAGGGATTGGCAGGGAGGGGTGGAGGACACTGAGTGGAAGCCAGTGGAGGGATTGGCAGAGAGGGGTGGAGGACACTGAGTGGAGGTCAGTGGAGGGATTGGCAGGGAGGGGTGGAGGACACTGAGTGGAAGCCAGTGGAGGGATTGGCAGAGAGGGGTGGAGGACACTGAGTGGAGGCCAGTGGAGTGATTGGCAAAGAGGGGTGGAAGACACTGAGTGAAGGCCAGAGGAGGGATTGGCAGAGAGGGGTGGAAGACACTGAGTAGAAGCCAGTGGAGGGATTGGCAGGGAGGGGTGGAGGACACTGAGTGGAGGTCAGTGGAGGGATTGGCAGGGAGGGGTGGAGGACACTGAGTGGAGGTCAGTGGAGGGATTGGCAGGGAGGGGTGGAGGACACTCAGTGGAGGTCAGTGAAGGGATTGGCAGGGAGGAGTGGAGGACACTTAGTGGAGGTATTGGCAGGGAGGGGTGGAGGACACTGAGTGGAGGTCAGTGGAGGGATTGGCAGGGAGGGGTGGAGGACACTGAGTGGAGGTCAGTGGAGGAATTGGCAGAGAGGGGTGGAGGACACTGAGTGGAGGTCAGTGGAGGGATTGGCAGGGAGGGGCGGAGGACACTGAGTGGAGGTCAGTGGAGGGATTGGCAGGGAGGGGCGGAGGACACTGAGTGGAAGTCAGTGGAGGGATTGGCAGGGAGGGGTGGAGGACACTGAGTGGAAGCCAGTGGAGGGATTGGCAGAGAGGGGTGGAGGACACTGAGTGGAGGTCAGTGGAGGGATTGGCAGGGAGGGGTGGAGGACACTGAGTGGAAGCCAGTGGAGGGATTGGCAGAGAGGGGTGGAGGACACTGAGTGGAGGTCAGTGGAGGGATTGGCAGGGAGGGGTGGAGGACACTGAGTGGAAGCCAGTGGAGGGATTGGCAGAGAGGGGTGGAGGACACTGAGTGGAGGCCAGTGGAGTGATTGGCAAAGAGGGGTGGAAGACACTGAGTGAAGGCCAGAGGAGGGATTGGCAGAGAGGGGTGGAAGACACTGAGTGGAAGCCAGTGGAGGGATTGGCAGGGAGGGGTGGAGGACACTGAGTGGAGGTCAGTGGAGGGATTGGCAGGGAGGGGTGGAGGACACTGAGTGGAGGTCAGTGGAGGGATTGGCAGGGAGGGGTGGAGGACACTCAGTGGAGGTCAGTGAAGGGATTGGCAGGGAGGAGTGGAGGACACTTAGTGGAGGTATTGGCAGGGAGGGGTGGAGGACACTGAGTGGAGGTCAGTGGAGGGATTGGCAGGGAGGGGTGGAGGACACTGAGTGGAGGTCAGTGGAGGAATTGGCAGAGAGGGGTGGAGGACACTGAGTGGAGGTCAGTGGAGGGATTGGCAGGGAGGGGCGGAGGACACTGAGTGGAGGTCAGTGGAGGGATTGGCAGGGAGGGGCGGAGGACACTGAGTGGAAGTCAGTGGAGGGATTGGCAGGGAGGGGTGGAGGACACTGAGTGGAAGCCAGTGGAGGGATTGGCAGAGAGGGGTGGAGGACACTGAGTGGAGGTCAGTGGAGGGATTGGCAGGGAGGGGTGGAGGACACTGAGTGGAAGCCAGTGGAGGGATTGGCAGAGAGGGGTAGCAGACACTGAATGATTGGTAAGGTGGATGAGCCTGGCAGCAGGATTCATGATGGACTGGAGGGGGGATAGCCTATGTAAAGGTCAGCCAATGAGGAGGGAGTTGCAGTAGTCGAGGTGAGAGATGACCAGGGAGCGAATTAACTATCTATCAAATTCAGATCTTAACAACTCTATAAATTTAAATACACACTCCTGCTTAGGACAGGGTGGCTACATCTACTTCGTGTCATTTATATCTGTTTAGAGTTTAGTTTAAAACATCAAAATCAGTTTCAAATGTAAAAATATTTGACTCCAAAGAGGAAACTCACTTGAAAAAATGAAGCTCTGTAAAAAAAATAATACCCATTATGCTGATCTACATATATTTAAAGGTTTGAAAATGATTCAAGTCAAGTCATCATGCGCTTACAGATCCTAGTCAAAAAAAAAAGAAAAAGTCAGCTGGGAATAAAATGTAATTTTTCTAATAATATCCAAACTAAAAAGGAATAAGAAACCGCCTTAAACTTGCTCTGAATCTCCTAAATAATTAATCCGTATGCCCAGAAGGTAATGTGATTTCAAGCCATTTTGTCTTACAAGCTCCGGTTGAAGTGAAGTCCAAATATTTCATTAAGACACTAATCAAAGCATTTTAGAACTTCATGTATGTAGCCCAAACTATTAATTATATTACAAAGCATAATTAAATGCTATTAATAATATCCGTGCCGATTCCAGATATTTGAACATGAATAATTTAGGGCTATGTGTGAAAGTCCCAAAAGGCTTTTTATAATTTTTTTTTTTATTTCCCGCCGTTCGGCACGCAGACAGAGAGCTGGGAACGCTTAGACATATATGCCAATATTCCAGGCGCTTAATAACTTTGTTAAATGGAACTCAGCGGTAGATTTAAAAACAAAGATAATTAAGGGTAATATTATTATCACGCTGAATATTTCCTGTCTGCGCAGGCGGTAAAATAAAGCTGTGCGATTTTTATGTGACTGTTTTCTGAAAAGCGATAACATATTATGTAGCATTTGCAGAAGAATTAAGGAGGATATTTCCTCTTGGGGTGTTGTGATGAGGGTGGGCTATCCCCAGGGCAGGAGAAACCCAGCAGGGTCAGGGTACAATTGAAGGCACAATGGTATCTTTACAGTTGAACTCCAGTCTTCCCTTCAGTCTTGCACTGTTGTAGCGGCTCCTCTCCCAGACTGAAATTACTTACTCTGACTTTACTGCACACTGTGAGCTTCTCACAATGTGCATTATGCAGGCCATAGATGGGTCGAAAATCGGCCAATTTAAAAAAAAAAATATTACATTTGAAACTCATTTTGATGATTTAAAATCGGTCGTTCGATCGGCCAACATTACCACCAACGTTGAAAAAAATTGGCCGGCTATGGCCGGCATTAACCCCATAACTTCTGTCCCTTGCAGAGACAGGGGACAGCAGACCATACAATGTGACAGCAATACAAATACATTATTTGTACATAATACAAATACAATGTTTTTATTTGTATACAATGTTTTTATTTGGATACAGATGTTTTTATTTGGATACAGATGTTTTTTATTTGGATACACTGGTTTTATTTGGATGCAATGTTTTTATTTGGATACAGATGTTTTTATTTGGATACAGATGTTTTTATTTGGATACACTGGTTTTATTTGGATGCAATGTTTTTATTTGGATACACTGTTTTTATTTGTATACAATGTTTTTATTTGGATACAGATGTTTTTATTTGGATACAGATGTTTTTATTTGGATACACTGGTTTTATTTGGATACACTGGTTTTATTTGGATGCAATGTTTTTATTTGGATACAGATGTTTTTATTTGGATACAATGTTTTTATTTGGATACACTGGTTTTATTTGGATGCAATGTTTTTATTTGGATACAGATGTTTTTATTTGGATACACTGTTTTTATTTGGATACAATGTTTTTATTTGGATGCAGATGTTTTTATTTGGATACAGATGTTTTTATTTGGATGCAGATGTTTTTATTTGGATGCAGATGTGTTTATTTGGATGCAGATGTTTTTATTTGGATACAGATGGTTTTATTTGGATACAGATGTGTTTATTTGGATACACTGTTTTTATTTGGATACAGATGGTTTTATTTGGATACAGATGTGTTTTATTTGGATACAATGTTTTTATTTGGATACAGATGTTTTTATTTGGATACACTGTTTTTATTTGGATACAAATGTATACATTTGTTGCAACCGCAAGACTTTTTCATATAAAATGTAATAGCAGACTTCCTCTTCCTCGCAGGTCACGGCTCACGCGCAGATTTTTTATCGGTAAAGCAATCGGCCGATTTGTCCATCATTGCCAGGAAAATCGGCTGATTGTCAAAATCGGCCGCAAATTTTCCAGCATGACCGATAAAAAATTTTTGCAAAAACTCCAAAAAACGACCACACAGCACAGCAGAGAAATACACAGCAGCATGTCTCCTTAGTAAAACACACACAGCACATGGTTAACCCTTTCATTGCCCCAGATATTAACCCTTTACTGCTCAGTGTCATTATTACAGTGTCAGTGCTTTTTATTAGCACTGATCACTCTATTAGTGTCATTGGGATGTCAGTGGCAGTTAGTCAGTTCCCCCCCAGTGTCAGAATGCCCGCCGCAGTCCCGCTATAAGTCTCTGATCGCCGCCATTACTAGTATAGAAAAAAATTTAAATTCCAGTATCTATACCGCCATTTGTAGATGCTATAACTTTCATGTAAATCAATTAATTTACACGTATTGGGATTTTTTTTTTTTAGCAAAGACATGTCGCAGAATGCATTTTGGCCTAAATTTATGACAATTTTACTTTAATTGTTTTACTGGATATGCTTTAAAGCAAAAAGTCAAAAATATAGGTTTTTTTTCAAAATTGTCGGTCTTTTTTTGTTTATAGCACAAAAAAAAAATGCACAGGTGATCAAATACCTGCGAAAGCTCTATTTATGGGAAAAAAAGAAAATACATTGAATCTGAGTGCAGCGTTGCATGACTGCGCAATTGTCAATTAAAGTAAAGCAGCGCCGTATCGCAAAAAATGGCCTGGTCGGGAAGGGGGGAAATCCTTTGGAGGGCAAATGGTTAAAAACCACCAAAAGAAACCTCTATCTGTGTGAAAAATAGGATAAAAATATAATATGGTTACAGTATTGCATGACTGTGCAGTTGTCATTCAAAATGTGCATGCTGTACGCTGCTGTACAGCAACATGATTGAAGAGTAGTTTTTGTACAAGTTTTTACAAATACAAAGAAAATAAAGGTGGCTGTGTGTGATGCGCTGAATTGTGCACCACACGCCATCCACCGCAGATAGGAACAGACAGCTTCCAGAAAGGTAAAGCGATCCAGCAGCTCTCCATTCTTGTGTGAACCAGCCCTTAAAAATCCAAATCCCCAGCAGCCTTATACTACTGGCACCAGCCCTGTCTTTATATACAAGTCTCTCTCTATTGTGATGAAATAGAAGCTAGGGGACCAGAATTCTGCCCGTCCTTTTGTTCCGGGCCTTATGCATGCATCCCAAGAACGTCCCTTAATACGAATGTTTGCTGATATTACTATTATTTCCCTACAGCTTTTTTGGCAGCTATTGCAACTAATTATTTTCTTCACCCGGTAATAAGGTTGACTCTATCATTATGGGAATTAATTCTGAGTTTTGGTTATCAGCGGGTCAGCATTGTCTGCTGATCTTTGAGTCTTTCTTCTGCAACCTTTTGTAGTAAATAATGCAGCCAAAGACACGCAAGGAAAACAGTTTTGAAGTTCTGGCTTTGATAAATCCGAGACTTTCTGTGTATCTATGAGAAGAAAACACGGGCTGTTTTTTGAGTTCAAATTACTACTCGCTCTTTTGATGGGAGGTAAAAAAAAAATAAATAAAAAGGATCTTTCTGCTGCGAGCTGACCCCTTTTTATTATCAGATTCCCTCTGCAGACGCAGCAACGGAGATGAGCAGCAAATCTTTCAAGTTCAATTCTAAGCGCTTTCAGAGGAAAAGTTTTAGGTCTCACCCAAAAGCTCATTAATGGAACATTTTGCAACCTATTAAAATGATGGGCAGGTTATTGACACATCACAGCGATTCTTCAAATGGAACCAGTAGAACGTTGCATGGAGCCCTGTCGTATGGTCGTGGTGCTGTTACTGGGAACGCAATTATGCGACCGTGCCACTGGTCAATAAAGAACATAACATTCTTTTAACTTAGTTTATCCATGGACTTTCCTTATGTCACTAGTAAACCATAACTGTGAGTGTGTGCCACGGAGAGACTAAGGATCCAGGTTTGCTCAGTAATTATTTTTCGGTAGCTGAATACTCTGGGGCTTTTAAA